TGTACCATTATGTTATGTTCTGATATGAATGTTTATGAATGATTTATTTTATGAATACCTTATATGTGGAATTCGTTCACTACCCCTTTACTTTAATGTTATTCACTGGGCTTTAGCTCACTGTTTGTATATATATGTATTATAGGTGAGCGTTCTGGGAGTCAAGCGAAAATTCATACAGTGATCGAGCCGCCGTTTTGGAAGCCTACCAGGTGTTTTGTGTGCCTCCGAGCTGGGGCTAGGCCTGGAAGGCCGTCTGCAAGCTTTGTTTTTGTTGTACACTTGTGGCACGTGCCTATGTTTTGTGTTTGTTATTTCGTTATATGTTATGTAATGTAAGTGGGTAAATTAACATTTTTGGCATGTAAATATTTGTTCATATAGATGCACAGCTCTTTCGACTTATAGTATTTTGTCTTTGCTTCTGCTAGCCCCGATTATTTATGTTTTGTACAGGAAGGCCTTTGGTAATCTTGGATTACTGGCCGGTTGCGATGCCAAACTCTTAGGGGCGGGTTTGGGGCGTGACATCCACCATTAACGATACCTTCGCAGGTTGCATCAAATTGGTTATCGATTCTGAATCGAGATCGAAATTCACAAGAATCCCAATAGCCTCCGAGCCAACAGCATGAGTTGTGAAACGACCCAACAATGAAGAAATCAGACAAAACCCATTGTTCTCCGCTAGTGTTTTCTTGGCCGAATCGTGAGCAGAGACGATTTGCCTGAGCTCATTGATGGTGATAGATGTTGAACCCCTCTCTCTCTCTAGGTCTGTCTGTGTCTAGTTTCTCTCTTTATACATACATGTATGTATACGATACAGTTTCACAGGGACAGGTTTGTTTGGTGTGGGGGGTATGGAAAAATGGTGGGAATTGAATTCCTGCTTTGCTAGACAGAGAGCGAGCTGTCATTTGCTTGTGGACCTTTCGATTTACTACGTTGTGTCATCGAATTTGCATTTACTTCAAATTTTGATAGTATAAACTTTTTTTATTTTTTGTTTTTAAATAGGTAATACCGGATAGTTTCATAAATTTTGTTGTAGATTATCAAATTTTATTGAATTTGCAAAAGTTTTTTGAAATTGAGAAGATTCTCAGTTTATAATATTCTCAATTTTAATCATGAAAAAAAACTCAATTCAGCAATCTAATATGTCAGGTTCGCAGAATTATCTTTCTTTTCAATTCCATACTTTTCTCAAAAGCCAAATAGAAATTTATTAGTTTTGATAATTATATACTGAAATCATTCTCTGTTTTGAAAATTAAGAACATTCTCAATTTTGAAATTGAGAACATTCTCAGTTTTGGGATTAAATGGCAAAACGTCTTTTTACCTATAAATGGGACTTATTGGTTCAAAAACTTTTTGACAGGACCTAAGCTACCACCAAATATATAGATAGAACTTTTTGGTAATTAACTCTACTTTTTAAGTGTAATTATGTTAGGTGTATCTAAAAATTTAAAAAAAAAAGCTTAAAATATTTTAAAAAATTCAATGAAAACAAAAAATACCAAAAACAAAAAAGTAAAATTTTTTGAAAAGTGAATCTTGAAAATTGAAACCAAACAGAGTGATTGCTACTATCAACCGTTGCCATTACTGCCATCTCCCTCCCTAATTCCTTTCCCAGCTACCCCTTTCCCAGCTACCCCTTTCCCTATTCCTTTTTCCACCACCATAACCTTCTTAACCCTCTCTTGTCAACGTTCTTGTAATATTTTTTCCTAACCCCTCTCGCCCTAACTATCACAAAAATCGCCCTTTTCGATCCCTTTTTGTCGCCACTTCCTCTATGATTCAACCCTCCATACTTCATTCGAAACCTCTTTCTCCACCGACATCCCCTCTCAACTCTCTCTTTTACTCTCCTGCCACCCTTTCATAACACTCTCATCCCCGCCTTCTGTAACGTCCTAACCCTTCACATGTCATCGATATTGTCCGCTTTGGGCCACGCCCGCACGGATTTGTTCTTCCCAATGGGTCACCCATCCCAGAATTACTCCAACCTAAGCACGCTTAACTTGGGAGTTCTAATAGGGATTTCACCACTCGAGAAAAGGCCTTGATACTATTTAAGGGTCTAGGTTTTTATTTTTATAGCCCAGGAACTCTCCATTCATTCCCGATATGGGACACCGATACCTTACAATCCACTCCCCTTAAGGCTGCACGTCCCCATGCAATAGCCTGCCAACTCACAAGCCCGCCCACATGCACTGAGAGATGTCAGGAGACCATACTTGGTACTCTAGAGAGTCAGCTCTGATACCATTTGTAACGCCCCAACCCTTCACATGTCATCGATATTGTTCACTTTGGGTCACGCCTGCACGGATTTATTCTTCCTAGTGGGTCACCCATCCTAGAACTACTCCAGCATAAGCACGCTTAACTGGGGAGTTCTAATAGAGATTTCACCACTCGGGAAAAAGCCTCGATACTATATAAGGGTCCAGGTTTTTACTTTTATAGCCCAAGAACTCCCTCTCCATTCCCAATGTGGGACACCGGGACCTTACACCTTTTAACTTGAAACTCTAAGTTTAGAAGAAAGAGAGAAAGAAGACGAAAAAAAAGGACAGAGGAAATGCATCGAAGCTTGAAAAGGTTGGCAATAATGACATTCTTCGATGGTAATGGTAGTGATCGGTAACCATTTGAAAGCCACCGGAGACCAGCTTTATCCAACAAAAATTAAATAATTTTTACTACAAAATAATCAATGGTGTTACACGCATTAATTGGCATACAAATTAATATATCAACATATACGATAGTATTATAATTTCAAAATTATAAACCCTACTTATTATATAAACTCAAAACCAATAAAATTATACCACATTATTTTTTAGTACACTAATTAATGTACTAATTAGTGTGTATAGCTTTATTTATAAAAAATCAAGAGTAATATTAAGAATTCCAAATGTTTTACTAAATATTTTATCAAATTTCTCATATGGGTATAAGGCTCCCATGAAACCTATATGGCGTGGATCCTACATCCATACGAGGCATTTAGTAAAATATTTAATAAAGCATTTAAAGGCCCAAGAATTTTTCATAAATCAATCACAATTAAATTGGACCCGTGTAGCACCCGATAACTTCTGTCCCCACTAGAGAGCAAGAAGGCCAACTATTCATTATTATGCACCCTTCAAATCCTATCCTCTCCACACGACACGTGTCCCACTGTAACAGGTATTATTCTCATCATCTCATATTCCTCCATTTATATCACTCCCCACTTCTGACCGTCTCTCCCCAATCCTCCCCAAACCCTCAAAAAACTCCTAAATTTTCTTCAACGGCGACAATGGCTACAACCCTCACTTCTTCTCTCTCCTCCAAGCCCAAGACCAAGACCTCTTTCTTGGACCACTCCTCCTTCCATGGCGTCCCGATTTCTTCCCCATCTCGCCTCCTCCAACCTATCAAATCAGGCACACAGAACCTCTCGATCTCCATGTCCGCCTCATACGATCTCAACTCCTTCAAGTTTGAGCCAATCAAGGAATCGATCGTTTCTCGGGAAATGACCCGGAGGTATATGATGGATATGATCACCTACGCCGACACCGATGTTGTCATCGTCGGCGCTGGGTCTGCTGGCCTTTCCTGCGCTTACGAGCTCAGCAAGAATCCATCAGTTCAGGTAAAATTAATTACCCAACAACTCCCTAAATTGTTAGAAATTTCAGTTTATCCCCCATTTATAATCGACCTCTTCAATTATAAAACAGCAATACTACAAACCCACAATTATTTACCAAGAATTTACCCAGAAACAACCATCCATGATTCAAATTCATTTCAATCATGAATCTTACACTTCATTCATTTAAGAGTAATGCGAGGATCTTAAGTATTTTATTAAATGTCATACCAAATGTTTATATGTGGGTCTCACATCCATCCATGTAAGTGTGGGTCTCCACACTTTTGAGATATTTGGCTGTGCTTTAGTTGAGAAATTTGGAGAGAGAAAGAGAAAATGGATGTGCGTCGTGGTGAAATTTAAGTATATTTTATCTAGCTTTTTTTTATTTTCTTTTCCGAATCACTTTCTAAATTCACCAACCAAAACCAGCATTAGTAAAACATTTAGCATTTTTCTGCATTTAATCTTCACCACACATACCATTCTGATAAATGCTTAGACCCTAATTCTAGAATCCTCAGATTTTTCCATTATAAAAAGGTAAATTACACTTATTACTCGTACACTTCCACCAGAATGTCATTTTCATCCCTTTACTTTCAACTGTGACCCCCAACCCTTTACATTTTTAAGTCAAGGGTGCCCTAGAGTGGACCCAATGAGCCCAATAAGTCATCTTTAGGGTTTGTTGGGAAGTGGATTCGCTTTTTGACTTTTTGAAGGCTAAAAAATCTCATTTGAAAAGGATTTTTTGACTTTTCATGCAAGAAAGAATGTAATGATTATGGATTGAATGTGTTGGATTAAAAAACATATTTTGTTTTTTTGTGATTAAAATAATTTCAAATCCAACCCAACCTCTCTTCCCAAACGAAGCCTTAATATAAATTCTTCCCACAGTCCCCTGTTTGTATCAATTTGGTTATTGTAGCTCTAGTTGTATCAATTTTGCTGATTTTTTGGTCAATTTAGTTCAGTTTTGATATTAAAAAAAAAATTTATTTGGACAAAAATTAAAGAAAAAGTAGTCTATTTAAAAGGAAGAATGGACTAATTCGAATTTGATTTTCTTTACTCAATCACTCACTTTACATCATTAGTTGAATTTCAAAAATAAAATTTATAATTGACATGCAAACTACATGTTACTGGCCTAATTTGCCTATCTATGTTCTTATTGATTCCTATTCTAAATGATCGTGTTGTTTTAAATAGGTTGCAATCATTGAGCAATCTGTCAGCCCCGGCGGTGGTGCGTGGCTCGGCGGACAACTCTTCTCATCTATGGTGGTTAGGAAGCCAGCACATCTCTTCCTCAATGAGCTCGAGATCGAGTATGATGAACAGGATGACTATGTCGTGATCAAACATGCAGCCCTGTTCACCTCAACCATCATGAGCAAGTTGTTGGCCAGGCCAAATGTGAAACTCTTCAATGCCGTTGCAGTGGAGGACTTGATCGTGAAGGGAGGGAGAGTTGGCGGTGTTGTGACCAACTGGGCTTTGGTGTCCATGAACCATGACACACAGTCGTGTATGGACCCCAATGTGATGGAGGCTAAGGTGGTTGTGAGCTCTTGTGGACATGATGGGCCATTTGGAGCCACCGGTGTTAAGAGGCTGAAGAGTATTGGGATGATTGATAGCGTGCCAGGGATGAAGGCACTTGACATGAATGCTGCTGAGGATGCAATCGTGAGGCTCACGAGGGAGATTGTGCCAGGGATGATTGTTACTGGCATGGAAGTTGCAGAAATTGATGGATCCCCAAGAATGGTAAACTCTTTTTGCTTTGATTTTCCTATTTTTGAATGTTTCGGAGATGCTTTTGTAGATACTCTGTTTTTCAAATTTTGTCTGATTGGTATTCATAGTTTTAATTTGATATGAAATGCTTTGGGACATGCTTTGTTTTTCAAATTTTGTTTGTGTTTTTGAAATGATGAGAAAAATAATTCTCTTAAAATTTATGTTTTGTGTTTGTCATCAAAATGGATGAGATCTGATTGAGAGACAAAAATTGTTGTATAATGTTTTTTTTCAAATTACGAAATTGTCCATCTAAATACATTTATGGGAAATAAAAAGATAAATTTGTCCTTTTTCTATTTCTTGTTCATCCAAACACAATGATAAAAGAGTTACAAATATTTCTTTATGTCCTTGTCTTGATGAAAAACCTTAATCTTAAATTTCTTTCTTTTTTGCTGTCTAGTTTACCAAACAGACTTAATTTGGAATGCAGTGCTGGGTGAAGAGTTAAAACAAGCAATCATTTTTATATCTGCTAATATATATATATGTTTGTTTTTTGTGATGCAGGGACCAACATTTGGAGCAATGATGATATCAGGACAGAAGGCAGCTCACCTAGCATTGCAGTCACTGGGACTGCCGAATGCACTCGACGGAACATACACCGGAAACATTCACCCCGAGCTGATCCTAGCCGCTGCAGACACCACTGAAACTGCAGATGCTTAAGGCTTAGCAACATGCTGTTGAATAAAGAAAAGGGTCACCAAGAACGTAGTTATGGGGATGAAATGGTGGAATGGATGAGCTTATTCAAATGGGTTTTAGATGTGATTAGGCCAAGTTTTGTGAATGTTGTGTCTCTCTCTTCCCTTTTGCTTTTTTTCTTTGTTTTGGAAGTTGGATTTGGGGAATGGCTTCACTTGGTTCCTTTTGTTTTTGTGCTCCTCTGCCTATGCTATCTTTTTCATCTCCATGTTTTTGCTCTTTTCTTGCCCGAGTGTTTTGATCTCCCCAGAGTGTTTTGATCTCTTCTCAGGTAGATTGTGACAAGCTGTGCTCATCTAAGAGAAGATGGTTCAAATGTTGTCCTTGAAAAAAGATCAATAAAAGTGGCAAAAATTTGAAATATGTAATGCAGATTAATTTTGATTGTGGTTCACACCATAAAAAATTTAAATTTACATCATATAAATGGTGCACAATTAGATTGTGACAAGCTGTGTTCATCTAAGAGAAGATGGTTCAAATGTTGTCCTTGAAAAGAGATCAATAAAAGTGGCAAAAATTTGAAATATGTGATGTAGATTAACTTTGATTGTGGTTCACGCCATAAAAAATTTAAATTTACATCATATAAATGGTGCACAATTAGATAAATAAGAGAATCACAAAAAGAGGGCAAGTGCATTCTACAGATTGTGACAAGCTGTGTTCATCTAAGAGAAGATGGTTCAAATGTTGTCCTTGAAAAAAGATCAATAAAAGTGGCAAAATTTTGAAATATGTGATGTAGATTAATTTTGATTGTGGTGCACACAATAAAAAATTTAAATTTACATCATATAAATGGTGCACAATTAGATAAATAAGAGAATCATAAAAAGAGGGCAAGTGCATTCTACCCAAAAAAATGACTTTTGTAATAAATCAAAATTTAATTTTTTTTAATTTAAACATTGATTTTTTAATTTAATATCAATTTAATTTGTTCATCCATTTTCTTTTAAAGAGATAATTTGAGGAATTTTTTTTACAATACATGATAATATGTCATTAGTTCTTCAAACATTATATTAATTCAAAGTCTACCTCAAATCACACCTAATCATAACCATCTTTTTCAGCCATTAACCATCCATCTCAATCTTATCTTATTATACTTTAGGGTGAACTACAAATACACCTCGTGAAGTTTGTTTAAAATATAAATCGCTTTATATGATTTTAAAAATTACATTCTACTTTCTGAGATTTTTAATTTCATAACAAATCGTCCCCTTTTATTAATAAATCATCAAGCCAATTAACCGTTTTTAATGATGTTAAAAATATATTTCAATTAATAATTTAGGTAATTTTATTATTGTATAGGAGAGCAATTATGAATTTCATTTTTTAGTTAATTCTGTTAAATAAAAAATTTTAATAAGGGGTATTTGTAATTTTTCAAACCACAGAAGACAATCTATATTTTAAGCAAATCTCGAGAGTGTATTTGTAATTTACCATATACTTTATTAACCCCTCTCTTTCTCCTTCCTTTTCCTTTTTTCACATCACTCTCTTTTACCATCTCTCTTTATTCCCTTTTCTCCACCGCTCCATAGCCATCTGTCATCCTCCCTATTACCACCCACCTATTTCTCTTTTTAATCAACGACGAATAAGAACAGCACGATGGTTATGTAGTAGTGTTGGGATTGCACCTCATTCTCTTCTCTTGCTATAAATTGATGACAAAGAAGAACACAACAACTATATAGTGGTGCCACAGCACCACCACCTACTCCTCCTCATGTGTCTCTCTCTTTCATTTCTATCACTGTGCTTGGGATTCTCTTTTGGGGTTGTGTGTGTTATTGTATGAGAGGGTTCAAGAATGTGATCTAGAAATTCGAAGATCTTCAAAGATCTTCAAAGAAAACTCGAATTCTCTAGAAATGATGAGAGGCTTAAATCCTTCAACAGTCGCAACTAGAAACACAATAATAAAAAGATGATAGAGATAAGAGATTGGGTGAAGAAGAAGGCAAAGTAATTAGAGAGAAAATAATGGCAAGGCTCTCCCATGGATCTCCCACTTTCACTCTCAAGGTAGATAATGAAGAAGGGAAATTAATTTTTTTCTCAAGAGTTATCTCTCCAAAATCCATCCTTTGTAAAGCTATGGGTGAGTGTTATTTATAGGCACCTCATGATATAGGATGGAGCCCATGTGCAAGGCACACGGAGAATATTCTCTCTAACTATCTTGTCCAAGGAGGTGACCTCTCCGAGGATCAGGAAAATCCCGAAGAGGAGATCAACCTCTCAGCAAACCCTTCTTCTTAGCCACATCTAACCAATGATTCTCAATCATTCCAAAGGGTCAAGGGTAGTCCCAACAAGGCTCTTCCAATGGTGGTGATGAGAGGACTCAAGTTCAAGACCCACCTACTATCCTTAAAGCCAGCCAAGGACTCCAACACACTCAACAAGAGATTCTAATGACCCTTCAAAATCTTACCCGCACTAGGTTGGTGATAAGTTCGAATTTCGCACCACCGGCAACAAATAGAGGTCAAGTCGGCGCCGACAAGCATCAACAACTTCATGGTGATGTTGAGAATGGTCAAAACCATCAAAACCCACCCTGAATTCTCCCTGAAGTTGATCACAATGGTGTGCAAAATCAAGTGCTAGGAGGAACAAGTCATGGCCCACCTGTGGCCCATGAAGCGCAAAATCACGCACCTAGAGGATCGAGCCATGGTTTAGTGGTGGTTGGAGGAGTTTCCGGCGCGATGAATGGTATTCCAACGGCTATGGAAGTTCAAGGAAGGCCCATAGAAATTTCTTTACCAAATGGTGCTCCACTCATGCCTATGCCTAATTTTGTTCCACCGATTATAAATTCTACTCATGTATCGAGCGAGTCTCCTTTGGTACCGATGCGGAGTTTGCAAGCCCAACCTAGTATAGCCACGGCATGCAATAGACTTTATGGGACCCAATTCAATGTCTTATCATCAAATGGCTTGTCCATAGGTACCGATAGCCAATATCGTCATGTGTCTTCACCGATGGTGAATTCTCAACACCCAAATGACCAAGTCGCTCCAAGCTCAATCTTCGGGTCTACAAGCCAAGTTCCAGGAATACCACTATCAAGTTTTCTCCCTCAACAATTTTTCACTCTCGTCGATGTGCAAGCCATGTTCGATATCGAACGGGGCAGGAGGACTTTACCCTCTTTGCCCGATCCCGATGTCAAGCCACCATACTCTATCGAGATGTTAAGTTATCCATACCCGGGGAGATACATAGTGTCAAAGTTCATCAAATTCGATGGCAAACAAGGAAATGCTCGAGAACATGTTGTTCGGTTCATCGAGACTTTGGGGATTCATGATTCAAGTCATATCCTCCGACTGAGAGAATTCTCCAAGTCCCTCATCGACCGAGCATATAGTTGGTACGTGAACTTGGCCCCAAACTCTATTTGAAGTTGGGAAGATATGGTTAACAAATTCCACGCCAAATTCTTTCAAGTGGCCAAGAAACCACACTTACCCTATGTAAGGAAAAGCAACATGAAGGTGAAGACATTCTCGAATATGTGAAGAGGTTCCAAGACAAAGCCGTGGCCTGTCATGAGGCTGTGGAGGAAAGCTACTTGGTCCAAATCTATGTTAAAGGGGCATTAAACGAGTACAAAATGCTTCTTGTTAATCACAAGCTACTTACCTTCTCGGCATTAATTGAAGCATCTCGGAACATCAACATACCTCAGTCTCAGGAGATCGGGTTCGAGACTAGTTCTAAAACTAGTTTCAAGTCATCCCGAGGACCTTTTGTCACTGCGGCTTCTGCGTCTTCTACCCGAAAGTCGCAGGGGGAGGGATCCAGAGGACAGAAGAGAAAGAGCTACGAAGATGACACTCATTTTCCATGTAGTATGGAGGAGGTGAAGGCCCTAGTCAAAGAATGAATGGCAGATGGGGAATTGAAATTGCCTCATATCGAAGAGCTTTTATGAAAAAATGACCGCGAGGGCCCTAATTATTGTATTTTTCACCGATCACTAGGACATCCTACAAAAAAGTGTCGGACACTTAAGAAGATCTTTAGAAAGAAAGTCAAAGTAGATGAGCTAAAGTTCAAAGAACAGGGGCCCCAGGATATCTTAGAAGGCGTGGCTATGATGGCGTATGACAGCCACAACCTAAGCAACTGGTGAAAGTTTTTCAAATAACCTCGTAACACTGGAGACTGGAGAGCAGGAGTCGACATTCCATAGAAGAAGTCTATCTATGACATTTACAATTTGTATTTATTACATTGTCCAAGAAGTTTTATCTTTATTTCTTATGTTATGAAGAAATTTATTTTCTCTATATTGTGTATCTTCATTGTGTTATGTTGCTTGAGACAGTTTTCAATTTTTTGTCACCCCTTGAAGAAAAAGAAGGAGTGGTAGACTCGGTTGCCAACCATAAAGGATTTTTCTTGCCAAAGAAAGAAGTGTGCTTCCACCTAGACTTTCGAGGGATAGCCCTTGCTTCCATTTGGACTTCCGAGGAACAACCCTTGTTTCCATCAGTGCGAGCTCTTGAAGAAGAAAGAGGAGTAATAGACTCGGTTGCCAACCAGAAAAGATCCTTCTTGCCAAAGAAAGATGTGTGCTTCCACCTGAACTTTCGAGGGATAGCACCTGCTTCCATTTAGACTTTCGAGGGACAACCTTTGTTTCCATCAGTACGAGCTTCGAGGATCTTTCTTGTTGAAGTAGAGTGTGTGCTCCTATTCAGACTTTCGAAGAATAGACCTCGCTTCCATCAGTGCGAGCTTCGAGGATCTTTCTTATTGAAGTAAAGTATGTGCTCTCACTTGGACTTCCGAAAAGCAGCCCTCGAGACTCGGTGTTAGAAGGGATCTTTCTTGCCGAAGTATGGTATGTGCTACTATTCGGACTCTTGAAGGACAGCCTTGCTTCTGTTCGGACTTCTGAGGGGTAGCCTTTACTCTCATTAGTGTGGGTTCTTAAGGCCCCGAAGACATGGCCTTTACTTCCATTAATTGTCGAAGTAGAAGTGTGCATCCACTCAGACTTCCAAGAGACAGCCTTGCTTCCGATCGGATTTCTGAGGGACACTCTTGCTTCCGCTTGAACTCCTGAGAGACAATCTTTACTTTTGTTGATGCAAGCTTGGTAGACTCGATTACCTTCCAGAAGGATCTTTCTTGTCGAATTAAAGTGTGTGCTACTATTCGGACTCCTGAGAGATAACCTCAGACTTCTGAGGGACAAGCTTGCTTCCGCTCGGACTTCCGAGAGACAATCTTTACTTCTGTTGGTGCAAGCTTGGTAGACCCAGGTGCCTTCCAAAGGGATCTGTTAGACTTATTTATTTTGATGATTTATTTAA